CCCCCGCATTGCAATAAGAACCAGTTTGAACTCTTTAAACTTTGAAATTTTAAACTTTAAGTTGCCAACAAAATTATGTTCCAATGGATTGTATGTTTTGCCTCTGTAAATAGAGAACATTTGTTGTACTGAAGACTAAGGTGGTGATTAAGAACATCCATTTTAATAGTGTTGTAAGAGTAGTTTAGAGACTGAGAGTTTTGTCCCCTGTACTAGGTGAATGCAGACATCTTTGCTTTTTTTGTTTTTGTGTACATGCCTGCTTTTATAGTTTGTTGTCTCCTGTTGTAAGTTGTTAGACTTCTGTGAGCTCTTTCTCCATCTTCTCTCCCACCCCCCCACCCCCAAAACTGTTGCCCATTTCCAGCCTCCCAGGGACTGGAAATAAGGTGACTGAGCTTGTTAGGATTTTAGTGGACTTAAGAGCATTTAAGGGCTCTGAGTGGGTTTCTGTGTTCGTAAGATGCATGAGCTTTTAGTGCTTTTATGTGACATTTATTAACTTTTATTTACTTAGGCCATCTGTGTTTGTCCTATTTGGTTTGATCCAAATGATGCAGAACAAAGTAAACTGGTGGTGAAGGAAGTACTGGTCTGTATGGTTTGAACTGCGTATTCACGTACCTGTCTCCGTGTTTCCACATTTACATATGCTGCCTGTGTTCCCTTAAGTTTATAAGTATTTGAAGCCAACTCATTTGAACCTCACAGTTCCCCTGCCAGTAAGAGATGTTATTTTTCAGAGGACGCACACAAGTCTCGCACCTGGGTCACATAGCGATGAAGAATCGTGACTAGTTTTTAAATACTTAATGAGCGTAAATAATAAGCAAACAAATGGAATATTTTAAGGAAGAATGGTTAAAAAATGTTTTTTAACTTCCCAAATTTTCTCTATCCCCTGCCTAAATGTTTTTTCTCTCTCGCTCTCTTTTTTTTTTTTTCCAGATGACTAATTTGAACTGGGGTTAGTAGGTTTTTTTTCCTGGCCTAGGTCAGGCGTTCCGCTTTTGGCCCGAAAACCTCATTCGTCAGATGTGAACGATAAGGGGTTCAGCCTTTTAAAAGAGTAAACTAATTTAAAAATTTTCATCATACCCCAGCTTTCCAAACTAGTAACTGTCCTTGGTAATGGTGTAAGTTTGCTTTTTGTGAGGTAGTTTCTGGTGACAAGTTTGGCTTCTAGCACCTCTGAGATGGGTTCTGTAGAAGAGTATATTGGATGAAAGTTTTTTGGTATTATAAAATTATATGGATTATACTCTAGTTGTAAATAGTTTGATTTAAAAAGATTAAAAATAGGTGTTTAGTTCTGATGGTATTTTGTGAAATGAAAACTTGCCTTTTCTCTGATGGAATTGGATTCCGCATAAAAATCAGGTTTCTGTGTTGATCTCACGTTAGTGAAGTCTGCTTTTTTTTTTTTTTTTTAATAGAAGTTTACACTCTTCCTTGAATAAAATCCTGAGGCCTACCTTCAGTATTCAGTTTAATTTTTGCTACCTTTTAATTTGAGTTAAAAAGCATGATGTGTTTGAACTGTTTTGAACTTACTGATAGAATATGTGTATTTAGTGATCCTGTTTTTGTGTCCAAAGCCATGGTGCGTTACTTCAATTAAAACAATTTTGTTTTAATATATTTTAGTGAGCAGCTTATAGATAGAAAGCACTCCATCAGAGTCTTTGGACCAAACCCATCAGTTCATGTTTATTCAATGTCCTTGAATTAAGCTGCTTTGGGGTAATTATTTATAAAATCACTTTTTTTTTTTTTTTAGAAGAATTAAACTCACCAGTAGTTAGAAACTTGTGAAAATTAGCTTTTATGATTTTATGGACATACTGAGATTGCGATCCCCCCTTGCTAAATTGATGCTGATCTGTAACTGTCGCAAAGCTATTACATTATGGTATTAATATCCAGCACAAAGCAGTTAAATAAAATAAATAGCATGTTGTCTTTATCTCCAAAGGCATTATATTGTACTTCTAGCAAGTGCGCCAACAGAAAAACAGCGCCTAGAATGGTGAGTATAAGATTAGACTTTACAGAAAAAATAAGCAAAAATCAGATAGCTACAGAGCACAGTAGGAGATGGGAGGAGGTTGTGCTCCCATCCAGTTTGGTTTGATTCATAAGCCGAGCTTTACTACTTGAAATGGAAGTAGAGGAATTTGGGGATCCATACACCATTTCCGTTTTTATTTCCCTTATGGAGATCCACGTATCGTTAACTGTATATTTAAGGTGCTTTGTTTTAGTGTCCTGATTTTTATCCTTTAAATATTTGCGGGGGTGTCTTTTGTAACCTTCTTAGTTTGAAATGTGGCTTGGTTCTCCTTCCTCAGTTTTTGCATCAGCATTTTTGGTTAGAGCATGAGACTGGTTTTATCTGTGGACGTTCAGATGGTTGAACTGCTCTCACGTGTGTTTAAGTGTGAACTTGCTGTTACTGCTTTGCATAAACATACTTGACTTTGTGCATTTTATTTTATTTTTTAAATTAACCAGAATTTTCATTAATACTAAGTGACATTTGTTCAGGGTGGGCTTGGTGGAATCAAAAATCCGAATCCTGGTTGGAAGTTTGGAGAAGAATGAATTTATTACACTGGCTCATGTGAATCCCCAGTCATTTCCAGCACCCAAAGAAAATCCTGACAAGTAAGCAGTCTTCTAACTTAATCTAGTTTCCTCCTCTCCCTTTCAGCTTTTACTCATAGAAACTTTTTATAGTCGATTTTTAATAACTAGAGTCCCTATTCCGTTGATCAGATAAGGCACAAAACCAATTTGAGATTTATAGTTTAGGTTTTCCGCATCAGAAACCTTGAAGAGAAAAACTATTTCTTGAGAAAAACCAATGCTAAAATAAATTGTTTTTTTCTGATAATAGTCTAATGATGAGGTACCTATTAACTAATTAGAGTTCAAATTATGCAGATCTGCCTTTTAGCATTTCTTTACATTCCCCCCCCCCCCCCCCCCCCACCTTACTGTGCGGTGCTTGTTAGAATAGCTGCTATACCAAATATGTCTTGCTGTTCATCTTAATTTTTTAAAAAAGAACATGCTTTCATTTGACCTCGCAAAAATCCGATTTGTGATGGATTCTGGAACATTGAGAAGATCTGTTAATAAAAGGCTCATGTTTTTCTTTTAAGAATCTTTTATAGGTCAGTTTCTGGTTCAGTGGTTGCTGTATTATTACTCATACAAAATCTACTTTGCTTTATACTTTGTTGCATTTGGAACGTGAAGGGAGTTTGAGTAGCAAGCTTTAAAAAAATAAAGTAGCATTAAAGAAAGATTGAAAAATAGAAATAATTGATCATTTGAGATTATGTTGCAGTGGTTTAGCTGTTATTCTGATTTGTTTATACAGGTTATTTCCTGTTGCAGTCCTGTAAATGAGTTGTATATTTGAGCTTTTTATAATTTTTTGTTGCTGTAATCTAAATTACTAAAAGACTGATATTTTCAGTAGATTATTAAGTCTACTGATAGAGATTCAAAAGTAGCTGAATCACCCATTGTTCCTGTTGTTATGCTGTAGTCACATTTTTGTCCGTGCCCCGTTTTTGACTGAGTTGTAACATTTTAAGGAATGTATGTTAAGTTCTAGTTAAATTTTTATATCTAGAATCACCTTTTTTGTTTCAGATTTTTCTAAAATGCATTATTCCTTTTCCCTCTTCAGTTTGAACATAGTTTTTGTACTTTGGTACTTTCGGGTCATTTTTTTGTACTTTGGTACTTTCGGGTCGTTAACGATGGTCGTCAGCACCCTGTTTATATAGGCTCAGGGTTAGGGGCGGGAATGACAGGCATGGGGGAGGGCTTGGAGTAGTGATCGGGTTCGGGTTTAGAACTTAGTTTGCTTATACATTTGTATCCTGTTTTCCCACGTACCTCAGATTGTAACCACATTGATAACATTTTCATGAAATAAACTAGTAACGCTTTTCTTACTTTGCAGGGAAGAATTTCGCACGATGTGGGTGATTGGGTTAGTGTTTAAAAAAACAGAAAACTCTGAAAATCTCAGTGTTGATCTCACCTATGATATTCAGTCTTTCACAGATACAGGTATATCTCTACTTGGATGATCAAAACCCATAACTTGCATATTTGAATTTGTCTTCATGTATACCATAGCGATATTTGCAGTAACTGTTAATTTACTTGGGAATGTTGAACAGTGGTTATCAAAATAATCTTAATGTTTTTGGATTAGGTATTACTTTTTGGTCATGTCGAAGATAAAAATGATTTTTTCGTATTGTAGATTTAAAGTTAAGGAGGACCATTTAAAATTTGTTCACAATTGCTTATAAAATTGGATGCCACTTGAGTATTGATTGTGTGAAGGACTGAGTCTGTGTCTGACTGCCTCAGTGATCTTGAACTTTAGACATTTTGAAAGCTAGACATCTGGTAACTTGAGGAAATTTTATTCTCTGTGTCAAATAATAGACTCCAGTGTTGATTCATGGGTAGAGAATAGGGTGACTAGAGCTACATTTCACATTAACCTATACCCTCAGATAGAAGGTAGTCCAGTTTAACTAAAGTGCACATGGTGGGTGTAGTTCACAGAACCTAAGGCTGTTCTGTGTGTGTGTGTGTGTGTGTGTGTGTGTGTGTGTGTGTGTGTGTGTGTATAGGTGCACAACTTTCCAAGAGGATGGTGAATACACATGGAGGGAGTGATGAGTAGGGACTAACTCTTTTTTTCCTCTTACACATCTCCTTTTCTCCCCATTAAAAAAAAAGTTTAGTGTATGTCATTTTCACCTGTCCCCAATAAGGAGTTTTCCCCTAAGAACCTTTAGCTGTAACATTAAACATTTTGTACCTCCTTAGAGGAGAGACAGAAATCGGTCCAGTTTGTTAAAAAGTCAGTATCGTACACTAAGTGTGAAGAAATGAAAGGAAAAGAGTGTGTCTTTCGGTGTGTAAATGCTCAGGTGCGGTGACTAGGAGGCAGACTCAAGTAGTCAGGTGATTACACGTATGTGTAGAATCGCCAGCAGCGTGACATCTGTGAGTTCCTGCAGGTGCTCTCTGTTGTGACCCAAGAGACCGCCAGCGGCAGGATTGCCATTGGTGACACAGCGGCTAAAGTTTCCAGTAAATTGAAAGGTGAACTCTAAATGAGACACCTGGTAGTTGTCTTCTTGAAAAATTCAGATTAAAAACACTCTGTTTCTTACGTAAAATTGAGCTGATTTCTTGGTTCAAATAATTGGTAAGCAAGTTTTTCATCTCTAGGGATGTAAGTGGGATGTGGCACATTTCTTTATTGTGGGAACATTGAAGGGTATTTAGTGTCCCTGGCAGTGGTAACCCTTAATTGCTGTGACAACGAAAACATTCCTCCACATTTCTTAGCATGTGCTTTGGAGGGTGATAACTTCACTTGCTGAACACCACAGAATGTTTTTTTCCAAAGTAAAAATTCTGATGTCGACTTAAACTATTTATAAACTAACAAATCACGTAGAGATACTTGAATTAGAAAATTGGTTTTGTGCATTTCATCTAAGTTTAGCTGTTTATCAAAGATTGTGCTAATGAACCATCAAGATTTTAAAGGACTTGTAGTTATTTTGGGAAGGAAGTGTTTAGTTTTCCTGTATCTTGAAACATTTTAATGGAATACTTGGTGAGATTTTCTCAGAAAACAAGTTTAATATGTTCACTACTCCAATTCTTAACTTCCAGTCTCTTCCACCTTCTCTTCAGATCTTTTTAATCTCAGGTATTGGCAACTATATCCCTGTATTTGTGCAAGCTAGAAATCTTGGAGTCCTCCAGGGCTCCTGTTTTTCTCATACTTGATACTGATGCATTAAAAAATCCTTTTGCCTCTACTTGTAGTATTCATTGAGATTCCTGCTACTAATTGCTATCTCTGTTGCCATCACATCAGTCCAGGCCCTTTGTCATTGCTCTGTTGTATTACTGCTGTTACTACAGTTTCCCCGGCCTGACCTCGCCCAGCTATTAATAGAATAATAGCTATTTTCAGTAAGCGTCCAAAATGATACTAAGCCAGATCATGTCTCACCAGCTTAAAACCTATAATGGCTACCCGTCTCATTTGGAATAAAAGTCTCAGGCCTTCCTTTCTGTGGTTTGCAAGCTTTTACCTGATCTGGCCTTCTCACTATGCCTCTGGCCTCGTTTCCTGTTGTAAGTTCAGAATCCTTTATCCACATATCTCAGGGCCAGGAAGGTAATAAAGTTAGTAAGTAAGATTCCGAGTGGGGACTGGACGATGCCTGGTATTTGGTGGTCCGAGACAGGAACATTTCTGCAGGGAACTGTTTGGTATTTGCATTAAGTAAGCGAAGGTAGAGACCAAACAGCCACACGTTGGTAGTTTAGATCAGGGTGTGTTGTTGCCACGTGACTTCTGATGCCCATTTTAGGAAAAACTTCTGTGTTGGGCGCTTTGGGGATTTTAGAACTGCTGTTAAAGGACTTTAACTTTTCCTTTACTTTTCCTTCCCTCCAGTGGCCTTTTTGTGGTTCCCCAGACATTCCCAAAGTGAGTCCTTGACATGGGCTCTTCCTGGAATGAATGCTGGTCCGCCAGTTACTTCTTACTTTCACTTCGGTTTCCAGGCTCGTGTCCTCTCGCTTTCCAGGCCCAGCTTCTCTCCTTGTCTTCCCTACTCCGTTTCCCTTGTAGCACTATCATCATCTGATACGAAATATTTGTCACTTGCTTTCTTTCCTATTTATTGTATTGTCACTATGAGAATGTAGACTCCATAAAGTTCTTTTGGTCTCTTAACTCTTTTCTATGTCCCCCATGTCCAGAACAGTGGGATACAGTGTAGGTGCTCAGTAAATACTCGTTGTATGACTGAGTGAATTGATTTTTCCATTTTGGGATTCTCTGGAACTTAGGTGGATTAATTTATTTGTAGCATTTTGTTTTTGTTCCTGTGACCTCTATTCAGTTATTTCTATAACAGAACATGTTGCTACTTAAAGTCTTTTTTCTGCAGATTCTTGAAACGCTGTGTTTAGGTGTAGTTAATAAGCTTGACTTTTGCTACATTTGTTACATAATTGGGCTAGCGTTGTAAATTATACTGGTAGCACAAAAGGGTATGGGTTTTAGAAACTCCTTTTGTCCAGTTCTGCTGTTTCTTAGAGTTGCTATTTTAAAGTTCTTTAAAGTTACTATTTTAAGGGCCGCCTGGGTGGCTCAGTCGGTTAAGCATCCGATTTCGGCTCAGGTCATGATCTCGTGGCTCGTGGGTTCCAGCCCCGCATCAGGCTCTGTGCTGACAGCTCAGCGCCTGGAGCCTGCTTCCGATTCTGTCTCCCTCTCTCTGCCCCTCCCCCGACTCATACTCTGTCTCTCTCTCTCTCTCTCAAAAATAAACAAACATAGGGGCGCCTGGGTGGCTCAGTCGGTTAAGCATCTGACTTTGGCTCAGGTCATGATCTTGTGGTTCGTGGGTTCGAGCCCCGTGTCGGGCGCTGTGCTGACAGCTCAGAACCTGGAGCCTGTTTTGGATTCTGTGTCTCCCTCTCTCTCTGACCCTCCCCTGCTCCCACTCTGTTGTGCGCTTGCTCGCTCTCTCGCTCTCTCAAAAATAAATAAACATTAAAAAAAATTTTAAAACTAAACATAAAAATAAAATTATTTTAAGAGTTATTGCACTGGAAGAATTAGTATACTTTGTGCTTTTATTCTTTATATACACCTTGTGGTGATAGAGTTTGCTCAGGCAATGGAATTTGTCAGATCATTTTTTTGCCTGATGGTTTTGAAGTTTTATGTACAGTATTGGTAGAAGAAGATCCCTACTTAGAATAGCTTCTGCTGGGGGAGTTTAACTGCCTTTATTAAAATGTTGCTATTTCTTGTAACAATTTCCTAATTGTGTAGTTTATAGGCAAGCAATAAACAGCAAGATGTTTGAGGTGGACATGAAAATTGCTGCAATGCATGTAAAAAGAAAGCAACTCCATCAACTACTACCTAATCATGTTCTTCAGAAAAAGAAAAAGGTAAATTTAGCAAGTACTTAACAAAAGCGTTACTGACATAATGTTTTTACTGTATTCAGCCTATCAGTTACTCAGCGTTTAGACTCAGTAAGTCACACACATGAAGTAGATCACAGCAGGTGAAAAATCTGTTCTAGGGAGCAGCTCCATTATGTGAAACCTTGTTTCCAATCAATTTTCTTGCATGTACTTGATTCAGACCTCACACAGACATGGAGATGCTTCTTCACCCTTATTTGATATAAACGTATATTCTCTTTTCAAAATTTTCTACTGTCCATTTACTATCCCACCTGTAGCAGTACCTGATTTCTTTTCCTTTAAAAAGTAGACAAATTAGGTAAATTGTGGATCAAGTAAATTCTGTGGCTTGTTATAAAAATGGCTTTATTTTGTTAAGAATTATATACGTATATTGCTTAAAAATTAAGTTGTGGAGTATGAGAATCACAAGCAGAGCTGACCAGAATTAATGTTTTGTAGTTTATTGTTCTGGGAATGCTGCTTCCTGTTGAATAACTTATAGCTGTGTTTTTCTCGTTTGGACTTCTAGAGAATATATTAGAATTTTAGTGCAGAGATGACAATTAGATTTTTAACGTTATATGATTTCAAAAATAGACGGCTTATTTCTGTAACGGAATACTTAACACACTGCCGTGAAAATAATTGGACTAGAGCTATATGATATTAATATGTTTAGTTAGATGCAGATGAATATGTACTATTTAATAATTTTATCTAAAGTTTGCAAGTTTAAAAATGTAAAATGACATATTTTTTAAGAGAGAATAGGAAAGAAAAGTCTGTTAGAGAACGATGGCCACCACTTTTCAGGGTGATGGTTGGTCATCTGGGGCTGGGGCTGGGACAGAGGACGAAGGTAACACACAAAGGGCTTCAGCATCATAAGGTTTTGTGTCTTAGAGCATAGCGTTTATTATGGTACAAGCATCTGAGCCAAGGACGAGACTTTGTGGGTCAGCTGGCTCGATTTCAGGTTTCACGGCCTCCCAGCTGGGAGACTCGGGCCAATTCTGGACCAAACGTCATGTTCTTGATTCGCTTTTTCTCTAAAATGGAGATAATATTTGTATCTACCTCGTTAGGTATTTTGTAAGGATATTATAGGTACTCTGCGCTTGGCACATAGTGCGTGCTCATACTTGTTTCTGGTGTTCTCGTCGTAACTTTGGGGCAGAGGTACTTACTTGCCTTTTTATTTTGGTCTAAAATGCAGGTGTAAAAGGCATTTTCATTTTTAAAATGGCTTACCACAGTAAAGCCTTTATACGGCTTGTCATTCTCTTCTCAACCTGATGCTTTTTTATGAGTTAACTAAGTAATATGTAGAAAGTGATAAAATGTACTGCTGTTATTTCAAGCCATTTTATTTAATTGTTATAAAGCATACATAAAGTTTACCAGTGAACAATTTTATTTTTAAACTAAAGTGTCAAGTCAGACATTTGTCTTCTAATTGTCCCTTGGTGTTATTAATGAGTTTAAACAACTGCACTTAAATATGTATTTACTGCATGTAAAAATATGTAAACATTTTACGCATTTTCAGAAGTGAATGTAAATATAAATAGATATTTATATTGTTCTTTAACACTTACTTCCATTAAAACAGCTATTTATAACTGAGGTAATTAGATTTTCCAGGACCCTTGGTTCAGATTACCTTTTAAATTAAAATTCCTATCTAGGGGTGCCTGGGTGGCTCAGTTCGTTGAGTGTCGGACTCTTGATCTCAGCTTAGGTCTTGCTGTTAGTGTCGTAATAAGTTCATGCCCATGTTGGGCTCCGGGTTGGGCATGAAGCCTACTTTAAAAAAAAAAACCGAAAAACCAAAAACCCTCCTACATTGATACTTGGAGCAACTAAAGTATAGTTTAAGTAAATTTTTTTCTACTGCTTAAAGTTTTATCGACTTACACATAATCATCTGGAATTTGAAAAGAATTCTGAATGATCAGAAATTTATTATTTAGTCCAGACATTGTATTTATCAAATAAAGCTTAACTATAATCTTATCACCCAGTAACAGCTACTCTTCAGCATTTCAGTTTTATTTCTATATAGACCTTTCAGTGCACATAGGTAACCTATACATATGTATTTTTAAAAGGTTTTTGGTGATACTTGCCTTTTGTGACCTCCTCTTTGGGTGCTTATTATGTATCCAGATTACATTACATTACAAATACTATGTGGCTGCTTAGTATTTCTTTGTATAGCTATGGTATGCTTATATCTGTCCTTGATTTGACATCATTTGGATTATTTCTAGCCACTAGTAAAATAGTATTTTCTTGTTTTTAGAAGTATCTAGAAATCTAGATCCATGAAGCTTTTCTTTTAGACTCTTATTAATACCATCCTTTTATAAACTGCTATTTGCAAAGCACTGTACAAGTGTTTTTCTGTATTGAATACTACAACAGTCTACAAGTATGTCTTTTATAGGAGAAACAGAGTGGCTAAAAAACTTGCCCAAGGTTGTAGAGTAAGCAACATGACTTGAACCTAGGTTTCTCTCTTTAGTATGTTCTGTCTTTATCTCTTATTGGAAAGTTTCGATAGAACCTTTATGATTTCTTGGCATTGAAGTCTCTTGCCAAATTTGGTATAGATACAGAGGCAAAGCAGAGCAGCCGTTTTGTGTTCAGACCAACCAGTTAAAACCTCCACGTTCACAGATCATCCTCAGCAGTGGCCTGTTGTCTCATAGGTATTTTGATCACCTGGTCAGGCTGGTAACTGTAGAATTGAGTGTAATTTACTTCCTGTACAAATGTTTGGTGGAGAGTGAAATTGGTAGCATTTTTGTGTAGGAAAGATGCTCATTAGAAGATTTGTTTCACAACGCAACTGACTACGTGAACAAGTGGCATTACTTTCTCTTCCTCTCCCTTCTGCCAAATCTCATCTTCCCCGTTTGATCAGTAACTAGAGAGCACGCGCACATATGCACATACACGTAAATGGTGTATGGGTTTTTGTCAACAGTGCAATCCTTTCCATTAAAATGTTTCTGTAGAGGGTGCCTTGGGTGCCACAGTCTGTTAAGCATCCGACTGTTGAGTTTGGCTCAGGTCATGGTCTCATGGTTTGTGAGCTCAAGCCCTGCATCAGGCTCTGTGCTAATAGCTAATAGATTTTTCTGTCTGTCTCGCTCTGTCCCTGTCCTGCTTGAGCGTGTTCTCTCAAAATAAGTAAATAATACCTTTTTAAAAAAGAAGGAAAGGAAAAACAATTTAATAAAATGTTCCTGTAGGTAAATGAGCACCAAGGTTAAAAAGTATTCTGGAAAAAAAAAGAAGCTGAAGAAACTCCATTTGATATTGCAATACTATTGATTGTAGAAAGAGAAACCTAAGTTGTTTAGAAATCAATTTTCATCCCATATAACCATTCATAGTTTAAGTTTTATTTTGGCTTTCCTATATTAAATAACCTTTTTGAGTGCTTTGATTTTTGAGAAGCAAGACTAGCATTAGGATTTACATGTGGATATTAGCTTTCACTTTCACAAAATTTATTTTCACAGGAAAATTTATACTAGTGGATGTATCATGTTAAAATTCTAAGTTGGCGGTCAGAGCACCAGAAGTTCTTGCTTTGAGAGAAGCTCATTTATTTACAAATGTTTAGAAGTGGCGCTACACTGTACTTAGTTGATAATTTTTTTGAAATTACACTATTTTATATTCATTTCAGAATAATTAAAAATTGATTTAAAAATTGCTCATAAACCCAATAACCAGAGATCCTCGTTGCTAGTATTGTTTATCATCTAGACTGTTTTCCTAATACAGATGTCTATGTGTCTGTGTATATTCATAGTCCTCTGATTTAAGGTCCATCTGTTGCCACACGAGAGTGCTTTTTAGTGCGCAGCGTGTCTTAAAGACAGTGTGTACGTTTAGTTTTGCACCGTTTCTCCTGTTTTCTCCCGTGGAGGAACTGTCTTGTGGTCCGAGGCCTCTTGGAGGCCAGCAAGTGTACATCTCCCAAATGTTTGCCTTGTAAGTCAGCATGACACTTCTGGTTTTTCCGGACCTCATTCCTTTGTACTTTCTAATAGAAATCATTTATCAGAGTAAAAGATGTTGGTGTTTCAGAGATCTGGCTAAAATAAAGATACGTTTGAAATATATTTCAAATATTTAATTTATCTAATATTTAATTTAAAATAAAATTAAAAGTATTTAATTTTACTAATTGCAGCATTCAACGGAAGGTGTCAGATTGACACCTCTCAATGACAGCAGCCTCGACTTGTCTATGGACAGTGACAACAGCATGTCTGTGCCTTCACCTACTAGTGCTATGAAGACCAGTCCATTGAACAGTTCTGGCAGCTCTCAGGGGTAAGGCAGACGAGGGGATGAAGTGGAGTGGCTGTTGACTAAACACATTTGATGGATTCTCTCGTTAAAGTCATCTGTTTATTTTTCCCCATCTTCTGACTTTTTTAAAAACAGCAATTAAACTTATTTTGGGGAGGAAGTAATTATTTTTGTCCTGTTGTGTCGTACTTGTATTCCGTTTTTGGAACAGGTATGTCTTCATTCAGATACGAATGAATGTTAGCGCCGTAATCCCTCAAGTTTCCGACACAGATAGTTCCTGACTTTCGTGGTTTGACATTTTTTGACTTTATAATGATGCAAAAGCAGGACAAAGTCAGGAAAAACCATGCTTCGCATTTTGAATTTTGACCCTTTCTGGGACTAGCAACATACTGTGTACGATAGTCCCCGATGCCTGGCACCAGCAGAGAGCCCCGAGTCACAGGGTCAACGGCCGGTACCCAGACAGCCATTCTGCACCCATGCAACCATTCTGTTTTCCCTTTGGTACAGTATTCAGTAAATTACAAGAGGTATTCAGCACTTTATTATAAAGTAGGCTTTGTGTTAGGTGGTTTTGTCCAATTACAGGCTAACGTAAGTGTCCCGAGCATGTTTAAGGTAGGCTAGGCTAAGCTATGACGTTTGGTAGTTGGTTATGTGTATTAAATAGATTTTCGACTTAAGATATTTTCAACTTATGATGGCTTTAGTGGGATGTAATCCCAACTTAATCCAGAAGGAGCTGTATTGAGATATCTGCTAACCTTCAGTGAACTGTGTGGTGTGCTAAGGAGAACGGACAAGAGAGAAAACCACCTTTCTGTCCTGGAGCTGCTTCTATATGTGCAGCAGGAGAACATATCTATGAAAATATTAGGGGTCTCCTGAAGGAGGTGAAGATCTCTGTGGGCTGGTTTTAGTTACAGGAAACTTTTTTTTTATATATAAGTGGGAGAGGGGCAGAGAGAGAGAGAGAGAGAGAGAAAATCTCAAGCAGGCTGTGCTCTGTGAGCACAGAGCCCAGCACGGGACTTGATCCCGCTAACTAACTGTGAGATCGTGACCTGAGCTGAAATCAAGAGTCTGGTGCTCAACCAACTGAGCCACCCATGCACCCCTAAATATTTTTCTTACGAAAGAAAGACATGGCTATGGTGGCAAAAATTAGAACACAAAAAGCCATATTTATTTTTACTTCTGTAAATTCTTACGGTATATCCTTGCAGAGTCTTTTTTTGTTTGTTTTAATGGAAATAACTAGGGTATCTTCGAAGTGAGCTGTTTATGGTAGACTTCTCAGGTGCTGCTAATATTTTTAGTTGTGCCGATCATTTTGTTAATTAATGAGTTGATACTTAAAACTTGAGCAGTTTTGTGAATGCGTGTTATATTTCATATTTCGTATTTTAAGAAGCAGTTTTAAATATCGGATTGCTAGTTAAAATATAACCAATGGCAGAGGTGGAGGTTAGGATGATTCTTTGGACAAATACGCAGTAGGGGAAATGTAGATGTACAGTCAGATAGGGTCACTTTTCTTCTCTTGGCCTTTGAATGCGTGCTGTGTTTTTAGGCTAATTGTGCACAGTCTGAAGACTTCAGGCACGAACATGGATTCTAAATCTTGTAGTTTTTTTTAAATTTTTTTTTTTTTTAATGTTTTTATTTATTTTTGAGACAGAGAGAGGCAGAGCATGAGCAGGGGAGGGGCAGAGAGAGAGGGAGACACAGAATCCGAAGCAGGCTCCAGGCTCTGCGCTGTCAGCACAGAGCCCGACGCAGGGCTTGAACTCACAGACTGTGAGATCATGACCTGAGCCGAAGCCAGACGCTTAACCGACTGAGCCACCCAGGCACCCCTAAATCTTGTAGTTTTAAAAGCACTTCCCCATTTGTAGAGTCTTAATTTCTAGGGATTTTTTTTTCTTTTTTTTAAGTTTGAGTGTTCTTCCCCCCCCCCCGCCACAAAGAAGCAGACGTTTTAATAAGAGGTTTGGGGTTTGTATAGAAGCTTTTGTACTTTGAGTTTGTGCACATGTATGTAAATAGGCATACATGCTAGGTAACTTCAGAAGTTTTAATACTAGTTTCTTACATAATAGTAATCTTCTGTAAGTAACTTCTGGATTTTAAGTTATAATTGTGTATTTGCTTAGCAAACTTGGAGTATTTATTATACACTAGCCATTTTGCTAGCTATTTCTGGGTTTCTCCTGCATCTGTGGTGCTCCTCTGGCCAGCTGTCCCTTTCTGTTTAAGACACTAGATGTGTGTGCCCTCTCCACAGTCCTGTGTCCTTGTCGTCTTCCTCGGTGGGGGGAGGGGGGAACGGGGAACCCCTGTGCTTGTTGATGTCTGGGCTTCCCTGTACCGGTGAACTCTCCAGAGCTTTAGTGAGCTGACTGCTCTGGTTGCACCTGAATGTCATGCAGGCACTGAAACACAAAGTCCTTTTCTGTTGCCGCCTTGTCCTGGCGTCGTTGTTCCACGGTTGGCAGAGAGAGTGACAGTCTTTACAGAGGACTTTGTGCTTTGGTTTTTCTTCGG